CTGCCATCGTGGCCGTCCCCCCCGACACTGCGACGAAGGCAGCGACGAAGAAGCCCAACGGTCCAGCGCCGAAAAGGAAGCCCCCGAAAAGGGAGAAAAGGGCGACTCCCCCGAGACCATGGACGCAGACATGCCGGACCCCGAAGAAGTCGCCCCCTCAGACGGCGAGCCCCCGCCTCCGCCATACGGCGCCGGTCGTCGAGCCGGCCGATTCCACCGAGGCGGCCACGGCTGGCGACGCGGAGGCGGAGGCCGCGGCCACCACGGCGGCTGGGCGCCACGACACTGCCCCCGCGGCAGCTCGTTCGACTTCCCCTCCATGATGAGAGGCTTCATGAACCACCCCTTCTTCCAAAGCGTGCGCGACCAAGCGGAGCGCCACCGCGCCAACGACGCCGACGCCGACGCCTTCCAGCCCCCGGTCGACATCTTCACCACCGAGTCGTCCTACGTCGTGCACGTCGCGCTGCCCGGCGCAAAAAAGGACGACATCGGCGTCAACTGGAACCCGGACACCAACACGCTCAGCGTCGCGGGCGTCGTCCACCGGCCCGGCGACGAGGCGTTCCTGCAGGGCCTCGTGTCGGCCGAGAGGCGAGTGGGCGTCTTCGAGAGGAACATCACGCTGCCGCCGGCGGGCGTGGCCGACAAGGACAGCGTCGACGGCCTGGGCATCACCGCTAGGATGGAGGACGGGGTGTTGGTCGTGGTCGTGCCCAAGCTGGAGAGGGAGTGGACTGAGGTTCGCAAGGTCGATGTCCAGTGATTCTGGGGCGTCTGGGCTGTCCTGCTTTTGATTTGTTGCATTTGTGCCGTGGTTGTAATGGGTAGAGTTTTTGTTTTGATAAAGGAATGATGAAAAAAAATCAAAAAAATCAAAAAAACTTATAGAAATATGAAAAACAAAAAAACAATACATGTACTGGCCTTGATACTATTATTCCCCGACTATCACTGTGGAGCAACTTTTGACATCAGACATGACATGTGACATGTAAATGACCACCTCCTTTCACTCAAGACTCCCATAGCAGCAGGCACGAACCAAAAACCAGTCGACCACGCCGCCTTCCAAAAAGATCTGGACTTTGCCAGCCAGGGCACGCACTGAGCACACAACACATCAACAGCAAGAAAAACGTTTCCATGGGTGAAATTTCAATTTCCAAACGAGATAAATATTCTATCTACAAATGACGGAACAATGCTACTACATCGCCCTCGTCGTTGCAAGTCTTGGACAAAAAAAAAAAGTAACAAAGAAATAACGAGTACACGGCCCAATTTCATACTGTCGTGTATCCCATTCTCAAGTATAGATAAAGTGTTTTCGCGCCTGAGCCTATGCTATGGGGGTATATGCTAGAAGATTAGATTTAAACAATGAGGTATGCGAGGTATTGCGCTGTGGCTTGTACATGTGCCACAGAACAACCTGCCTTGCTTGATTCGTGCCGAATTACACACTGCATTGCAATGCAATTCTGTCTTATGCTATGCTGGTGCTGTGTCGTATGCTGTGTTGCTAGCTCACCCGCTAAGAAATGCATAAATATAACAAACTTGCAGGCTGCGCGATGCGATGAATTCAGTGGCCCAAAGAGACAAACGAAAAAAAAAAGGAACCAGAAAGAAGTGTACGGAACGGCTGCGGTGAAGAGGCGTAGTGTGAAAAGAGCATGGCTTTGCCATAAGGCCTCACTCCCCCGAATACGAAGTAGATTGATTGCCCATACAGACCCCAACCAAATACTGAACTCAACAAATCCAAAACGACCGATGAAATAAGAAAAACGTTGTAATATCAACTCCGGTGGCATAAGTCATAATGCGCTCGCTGTTGGGACTCTTCTGCTGGATTCAAACAGAGGGAAGAGTCAAAGTTTTTACTGCACCAGCTCGCTGGCAATCTCCTCCCGGACATGCTTGCACCACTTGAGAATGGCTGTTTCAAAGTCTTGCCATACTTCAGGCCCATTGTTGTAAACAACACCCAGCACGTCAACCTTGAGAATCACCTCGAACCGGAGTTCAGCCGCCTTGACCCAATAGCGGAGATTGTCAGCACATCGGTATGGTTTCTGCGTGTCGGCGTGGAAAGTAGGTATGGCACCAAAGCGCCTTCTAGACTTCTTTACAGCAGCGTTGTGCAGCTTGACAAGCCGCAGTCCGTTCTGCAGGCTGCGGAGAAAGGGCGTTGGGCATTCAGATGCTTGGGATAGAGGTGTCCAGTCAGGAAGTGCTTCTCCCTCGGGGTCCAATGACAAGAGAAATGCCCTCTCTCTCTCCACCTCCCGCCCAGTCCAGTCACCATCGAGCCATACCCAGCTCGTTCGTTCCGCCCGTTCAGCAGCCTCAATTTCCTGCTCCTTGTCCAGAATATGGAAGACACTCTCGACCCAGCCGACCATGGTCTTGATTTCATCCTCTCTCAAGCCACCTTTGAAGTTTCGGGTGGCCATTTGCTTCAAGACTTCCATCACAGCCAAAAGGTCGGCCCGAATCTGTTTCTCGGACTTGATATAGTCCAGACGATCCGGCATCTCGTGAGCAGTATAATACATCTTGGCAGCTCGGATGGCCAATGTCACCACATCGAGGATGTGCATTCCCTGCAGTTCATACCAGCCTTGTGTGTTCTCCTCGGGCATATTGGGCAACTGAGGCGCATCTGGAGTTTCTTGAAATAAGCCAGCTTTACGGTCAAGCACTTCATCCAGGGCCTTTTGGGCATCTGTCAGGGACGTTTCCAACTCGGCCTTCAACTCGTCTATCGTGGGAGGCTTGGGAATTGGGTCGTCCCTCTGATGATATGTGCTCACTGTTGGAGGAAGCATTCCTGGATCCGACTCGGCAAAGCTATCCTCAAAGTAGTCTTCGTCAGCATCCTCTGCAGGAGAGCCGACAGTGACATTTGCTTCAATGCCAAGGCTTGCGTGTTCCGGGTTGCTGTCCACGGGATCGTATGATGAGTCCACGTCTATGCCAAGAATCGTTGGGGTAGAGCTTGTGCTTTCGAGGGCCGACAAGTCCAGAGTGGCGCGCTGATTAGGCTTCTTGCGCGCCAGCTGACCACCCTTGCCGTCCAAGAGACCGGTTCTGGCAAAATAATATTGCAAATGAGCGATACTGCCCAAGCACATGACGCTATCCCTAGACCTGGCACTGGCAGCAAAATCCGTCGCTTGCGGTCGTACATATCCTCTTCTTCGGCCCTTGCTATCCAAGCTGTGAGTTGACTGTCTGGAGATGTTGGAGACATCTGACAGCCGCGATGACCGGAAAGATCCAGAGGACTGGCGAGAAAAGAGCTCGCCACCCAGAGAATCACGGGGGCTCACATCGGTTGCTGAGCTATGCGACATGGACGACGCTGTTGACACGCATCGAGACAGCTCGGGGCAGGCTCCGATGGCCAGTGTGGGAGAAGTCTCGGGAGACACGGAACGGTGGATCTGATGCCCGTTGACAGTAGCCATTGTGGCAGCCCAAGTGTCGCGTCGCTGCTGAGCGATAGAGGGCCGTATAGGCTTGAAGGAAAGGATTTCCGGAACAGAGAATAATATTTCGCGTCGTTGTTGTCCTGGTCGAGGCGGGACTGGGAGGAGGACGGGGATGCCGAATTGGACCGCTGGCAGCCTTGCCGTTGATGTATGTACTAGTGCGTAAACAGTCTGAGGCTCAAGATGCGGCTCGACCAAGCGGCGCAAAGAAGCCCCCAGCGACGACCGAAACCAGGCACTCGTGGTGCTGCAACGGGCGGTTCAACGAGTCGCTGAGTCCTCGACCTGCACCGGGAAAGCGAACAGTAGGGCTGGAAGGTGAAGATGACGGAAGACCCGAGAAAGGCCAGCGTGGACGCTTGTGGTCAGGGGTTCCGCGGCCCAGGGCCGGCCGACTGCAAGCGTGATGAAGACGTGTGGTGGTTGGCTGACGAACGTTTAGACTCTGGAGCTCGAAATTGCGTCCCAGCACCGTCTGCTTTCCCCAGACTCGTCAATGTCGGCCGCGGTACCGAGTAATGTTGCAAGTATTGCTGCGCCGGGATGTCACCAATCGCGGCGAACCAAGGTGACAAGGGCCGGTCACAGTTACAGTTACAGTTGATGTTTTGCTGGTGATGAAATCAATTAATGGCGTTGTCTTTTGCGCGGCGTGCCCTCTGCCAAGGTGCGTATGAGCCGGGAGCCGGGATACTGTATCATGCAAAATGGGAAACGAAACACACGCAGACCAGACGTTTTTTTCTGCTTTCAAGTTAGTCTCCCTCGCGGAATCGAATAATAACCCGCACCTGAATCGCTTGCTTCACCTTGTTCTGGACCGCTCGTTCTTTCTCGTCGACTGCAGAAGGGGAAGGAGCATAGATGGCAGGCGTTACCTGACCGTCAACTGGTGTCTGCAGTAGTACTACAGTACTTAAATGCGTCCCGCAGTGTGATGGCGTCGCTATGGAGGTTGCTCCCGGAATGACACAATGCCCATTATTAAATCACACGCCGCTGCTCACCATGCCTGTTGTGCTGTTTGGTGTCAACTGTGTCATATCCCGGGGCAACCTGAAGGGGCCAGCGCCGCAAGCCATGGGCATCAATGCCATTGACACATGGCAACTGTAGCGGTTGGAATGCCAGCGGAATGCTTGCGGGGGCTGATGGGTGGAGCTGGGAGCCGACAACGACTTGTACTTGCCTGCGTGCATAGTACTCCGTACGGGGTACATAAATATAATAGTATTGTGCAAATACTAATAACGCCAGCCTCCCCATGTATGTACAAACTGACATGGAGTGGACTTGATGTTGTTGATTGAGGCCAACGCCAGCCATCTCGGTACTTAATAGTCATGCCCAAGTACATATTAGTTCTGACCAACGTGCTTCATGCCGAGGACATCAATTCCGCATCTGCAGCCTGGCGCAGGGACAGATGACGTGCATATTGAACGGCTTTTTTGCCAGAAAGCTGCCCCATCTCAGCCGCAGCCCCCCAAGGTGCCAGATCAGATGATAGCGTCCTGATGAGACAATGGCCAAGTACTCCGTAAAGGGGTGCGATCAGTGGTGAGGCGGTTGAACCGTCAGGGTATTAATGAAACATTGTCCTGCTAGTAGTTCGTATCGAGAGCAGTACATATGTATTGCTTCCGGTGTCCTGGAGCAGAGCTGTCATTTACTGTAACTACCTACTTAAGTAAGTACTTAAGTACCTAGGTAGGTACGGAGTACCCTGTAATCATATTGCGGGCGGAGTAAAAACACCAGACAGAAGATGTGCTCCAACTTCCATGGAGTACTTGTTAATAAAACAAGCACTACGACAGGCGCCAAGGAAACTAGTCCGCCGGAAGCATCTCAGCAGTACGGAAAAAGTGAGCAATATGTCTGTAATGATACTATTGTTAACCGCAGCTTGATGCAAGTATTCCCGACTAACCGGGCGGTGCCCCGGCCTCGAGCAGTCAAAGTCGAGATATTCCCGAGCTTTTGGCGCCTCCCCATTTTGAAGCTAAAAGGGCTCACCGTGACAACCCCTGTCGTTTATGTACTTTGCTGCGGAGAGGTCTGGGGGTGAACAGAGGAAGCCCATCTCATTTCGCAGGGATGTGGTAATTAAAGACAAGACACAATTGTCACTTTGGTGTGCCAGTCTTCTGTTGACTTGTTTTTACAATGCATCAGAGCAAGTCGATGCAAGTTTAATGTCGTCGTTCAGTCGGCAATGCCTCAGAGGACATTAGGTACTCCGTACTTGCTCCTCCGCTCA